CAGTACTCTATAGTGACAGAAGCAGATCAATGGTTGCCTGGGGATGAGAAGTGGGAGCAGGGAGGTGCAGGAGAGAAGTATTACAAGGGGACATGAGGACACTTTTGGCGGTGACAGATAAATATATATATACCATCTATAGATACCAAAACTTAACAAACTGTATTCTTTAAGTAGTTCAGTCAATCACACCTCAGTAAAGCTGTTAAAAAGACAACAAATAAACAACTCAGCATCTTCTTCCAGAACCAGCTGTCTCAAGGTATTCCTGCTTATTAATAAAAGCTTCCTTTTTAAAATATTACTTCTTAATTCACCAATTTACTGAAATTTCCAAGTTTATTTTTTAACAACAGATTCTAAGACAAAAGAAATAGGCACTTTTGTCTGAGAGAAATTGTAGCAGCTGCTGGTATGTGGGATCCTATACTGTGGAATGTCTCTAAGATGGAGTCTACCTGGCTAGGCTCACACTTTGGAGGGAGAACAGAAGAATCAGATGGCAAACAGACAATTTCAATATAGATTTAACTGCAGCAAGCATGTGTGTGTGTGGGGTGGGGTGTGTGTGTGTGTGTGTGTGTGTGTGTGTGTTTAAGGAGTCCCTGAGTGGCACAAATAGTTAAGCACTTGACTACTAGCCAAAAGATGGGCAGTTCGAACCCACACGGAGGCATCTCGGAAGACAGACCTAGCGATCTTCTTCCAAAACGTAACAGCCTTGAAAACCCTATGGAGTAGTTCTACTCTGCACACATGGGGTCATCATGAGTCAGAAAGTCAGAATCAACTTGACGGCAACTGTCTTAGTTATCTAGTGCTGCTATAACAGAAATACCACAGTGGATGGCTTTAACAAACAGAAATCTATTTTCTCACAGTTTAGGAAGCTAGAAGTCTGAATTCAGGGTGCCAGCTCTAGAGGAAGGCTTTCTCTCTCTGCCAGCTCTGGAGGAAGGTCCTTGTCTCTTCTGAGCTTCTGCTCATGGTGGATCTTCATGTGGCTTGGCATCTCTCTTCCCCCATCTCTGCTTCTCTCTCTGGCTTGTTTAATCTCTCTCTCTTTTTTTTTTTTTTACCTCAAAAGAGATTGACTTGAGACATACCCTACACTAATACTGTCTCATTAGCATAACAAAGAAAACTCATACCAAAATGGGATTATAACCACAGGAATAGGGGTTAGGATTTACAACACATTTTGAGGGGACACAATTCTATCCATAACAGCAACTAACAACAACACCACACACACACGAACAGGAGAGAGACTGAGAGAAAGAGAGCAAGAGAGAGTTATTTTAAAGAATTGGCTCACATGGCTGGGGGAGGTTGGCAAGTCCAAAATCTGTAGCTAGGTGGTGGCTGGAAACTCTGGCAAGACATCTCTGTTACAGTCTTGAGATAAAATCCTACTCCCTTGAGAAATCTCAGTTTTTGCTTTTAAGGCCTTCAATGGATTGGATGAGACCCACCAACATTATGGAGGGTAATCTGCTTTACTTAGGGTTAACCGATTTAAATGTTAATCATATGTAAATACCTTCATAGACCAGTGTATTGTAAAACAACTGGGCAACATTAGGCTAGCCAAGTTGACACATGAAATTATCTATCTTATCTATCTATCTAATACTATGAAGCCTGGAGTGGGGTACGTAGAGTGCAGAGAGGGCTTTGTAAAGATGATGCCTGAGTTGAGTTTTCGAGCATAAACAGAAGTTAGCCAAGTGAAGAAGCAAAAAGGCATTCTAGGCAGAGGAAATGCATAAGCTAAGGCAGGGAATCAGGAAAGAGCATGGTATATGTGGAAAACTATAAGGTGTTTGGTAATATTAGGCACAGGGTGGGGAGTGGTGGTGGAAGAGTTTGAAGAGAATGGGTGACGGCAAGCTCATGAAGGGCATTATGATTTGGTGTTATCTATTAGGCAAAGAGTCTGAAGGATTTTAGGAAGGTGAGTAATGTCATCAAATTTGCCTTCGAGATCACTCTGGAGATATTGTGGAGGAGATAATACTGGAGGCAGATAGATTAGTCAGATAAGTATAATCCCATCTATGGATTAAGAGGATTTCATAATGGGCATAAAGACAGGGATAAGAAGATGGATTTAAAATATTAAAAGACAATATTTCAAGTCCGGGTGATTAACTGGTCATAAATGAAAGTGAGAGGTCTACAGTGACTCCCAAGTTAGTATCTTGAGATTTTTCCATTAACGAACAGAAGTAACATAAGAGGAGGAAGGTGGTCTGGTGGGATTGGGAAGAAGAGAAGACATGAGTTTCAGATGGGGCAAGTTGAGTTTCATATGTTGGAAGACACTGAAGTAAAGATGCCTTTTTAGGAGGGTGGAAAAAAGGTCAAAGAGTGAGAATATGGGTGGGGGTTAAAACTCTGATAGTAGCAAAATTGCTCAACAAAAATATAGAGAGAAGAGCATTGGGCTGGATCCCAAAAGAACCTTTTACCAAAGGCTGGGAGTAGAAGGAAAATCCCTGTTGGAGACCCAGAATGAATGACCAGAGATATAAGGAAAGTAATTAAATAAACTACCCTGTTATACTGATTGTCTTTTTCCAAAGACTTGTTCTTTACCTTCCCCTTCTCCCACAGACCTCCCCCCACCCTCAGGTCTTAATGCTGCAGGAAAAGAAAGCAACAAGTACAATTTCTTTGTCCTGAAAGAAAGAGATTTTATAAACTAAACAGAAAAGATAAAATCTAATATGTGGTAACTAATATCAACGAAAGAAGGAGCCCTAGTAGCACAGTGGTTAACTGCTCAGTTGCTAACCAGAACGTTGGTGGCTCAAAACCACCAGCTGCTCAGCAGGACAAAGATGTGGCAATCTGATTCCAAAAAGATAACAGTCTTGGAAACCCTATGGGGCAGTTCTACTCAGTTCTGTAGGGTCACTACGAGTCAGAATCTACTTGACTGCAATGGGTTTTTTTTTTTTTTTCCCTCTCTTTAATATCAAGGAAATACTTTCAGTTGACTCTCATGATAACTTTGGTTTACTTTTTCCAGCAACTGCTGTTTATCTGTACAGACCACATGTTTGTCCTCCTAGAATGCAGCCAGGAGGAGTTAGAAGCCTGGTCTCTGCTAATGTGACCATCAACCAAACATCTCTCATACACTGTTATGGATTAAATTGTGTCCCCCCAAAATATGTGTTGTAAATTCGAACCCCTATACTTGTGGATGTAATTCTGTTTAGAAATGGGTTTTTCTGTGTTATGTTAATGAGACCATATCAGTGTAGGGTGTGTCTTAAGCCAATCACTTTTGAGATATAAAAGGAGCAGATTAGGTACAGAAGCAAGAAGCACAAACGGAGTAAAAATGGATGCTATGTGGAGATCTCCAAGGACCACCAAGAAGGTTAAAGAAGCTGAGACAAGGATTTTTCCCAGAGCAGACAGAGAGAGCCTTCACCTAGAGCCAACACCCTGAATTCAGACTTCTAGCTTCCAAATTATGAGAAAATAAATTTGTTTGGTAAAGTCACCCACTTGTGGTATTTCCGTTACAGTAGCACTAAGAAAATAAGGCAGTCTATAGTTTCACTGAGGTATGGGATGGGCCATTCAGAATGGCTATTTTCATTGGGTGTAAAAATAACTCTCCTAATTATCAAGTCAGGTGGGCCTCATATAATTGGCTCTTGGCTGTGCTGTGGCTCTGACAAAAGGAGAGTGAAATCTCAGAATTCTGTAGTTCTGGTTGGGGTGAATAACAAATTATCAGGCACTCTAATGAGTTGTGGTCCCTATTGTCTGCACTGTCATGGGCAGACTTGGAATTACCCAGCTAACCAGGGCAGTGCCAAGAGCGTAGAGTACATGTAACAGAGCTTTTTCCTTCTTTCATAGGAAAAATCAGTTTCCCTAGAAATGAGGGAGAAACATACTTTAACTAGACCTAAGGACAGGCATGTGTGTATGTATGGTGTTTGTGGGGAGAGGTATGTGTGTAGGTGGGTAAGCCTCAAAACAAGTCTCTCTGAAGGCAAGAAAATAAACATTTCAAAAAGAAAGGAGTGATCAATAATATTAACTATAACCTAGAGGTCCAGTAAGATAAGGAATCTATTGAGTTTTTGCCAATATGGAAATTTCTGGTGATAATAGCAAATTTTAGTGGAGTGGTATGAGCAGAAGATGAAGTACAATGGAGGTTCAGTGGTAGAATTCTTGCCTTCTATGCAGGAGACCCCAGTTAGATTCCCGGCCAGTGCAACTCATGCACAGCTACCACCCATCCCTCAGTGGAGGTTTGCATGTTGCTATGATGCTAAATAGGTTTCAGCAGAGCTTACAGACTAAATACACTAGGAGGAAAAGCCTGGCAATCTATTTCTAAAAATCAGCCAAGCGATCATGGGGATGGTGCAGGACCAGACAGTGTTTCGTTCCATTGTTCATAGGATCACCATGAGTCAAGGGCTGACTCAGTGGTAGCTAACAACAACAGAACGAGCCAAAGATAGATTTTATTGTGCAGTGAGTGCAAATGTAAAGTAAATCAAAGAAATAAAGACAGTAAATGCTAGACTACTATGAAAAAGTCTAAGAAAATATGAGTGAGCTAGTGTTAAAGGAGTGGAGATGCAGGTCAAAGGCAGAGGCATATTATAGGCGAAAGCTGAGCATATTTACAGGCTGAAGCAACACAGGAAAAGGAGACGGAGAAAGCAAAGATATTAGAAATTGTAGGGATAGTTGATTAAGGTCTAACAGAAAACAGAGCATGTACTTGGGGAGAAAACAGTAGAGGGACAGTATTGAAAGGGTCACATCTCATCCCCTGAGCATACAGGGCACAAGGCAAGAAACTGGACAGGTGTTGATAAATGGATAGATCCCTTTACCTGGATAATGTCAAGCCTCTGAAGCTCCTAAGTGGTCCCATTCTATTCCAGCCTCTTCCTGACCCACATTCTGCCTGCCAAAACTCCTATCCAGTTGCCTAATAACTGTGGGAGTATGGTGCCACTGATTGTAATACAATGAACACCACTAGCTTTGCTAGCTTACTTCCAAACAAAGAAGTAGAGCTAAAAAAAAATTCAGAGCAACAATATTCAATGGCTTGTACTTATATTTTTAATCTGTACTTGCAGTGAGAAGATGAGACCGACTTGAAAAGAACGGAACCCGAGTTCTGAGAGCTTCTCAAAGTCAATCCACGAAGCTGATTGTGGTTGATGCTGTTTATTTTTTAAAATCGAGAGTGTTAGGTTTAATCCTCTAAAGTATCTGTACTGAGAGCGTTGGCCCAGGAGACCAGATCTTCCACTTCTTCTTCCCATGACATATTTGAGTGTTCATACTCTGGTGGTGACATTTCAGTCTCCCACTCCTTTACTTCTTCGAAAATCTTTGCAACAATATCTGTTTCCATTTGTGACTCAGGAGAAACTTCCTCTATGGTGTGAAATATGAGAAACAGAAACTTAATAGACATGGAGGAAAAACGGGAAAAAGAGAAGTGCTCATGGTTTTTGAGATTTGTATAGTGCTTTGTTGCATAACGCTCTAAGATCACCTGGAATGAAGACAAACAACCTTTTCAAATTTTCTAAATTTCATATTTTGCAATTAATTTTATTCATCATAACTCATTTTTTCCATTTTGCTCAGTCTTTTTATGTTTTGTTAGTTCATTCATTCAACATACTGAGTCCCTGCCAAGTATAACAGAAACACAGTGTATATGAAAGGGAAAGGTGTTCATGAGCTAATAGGGAAGAAAGTGCTACAGGAGCCCAAGGAGGGAATCTCTGACTATGTCTGGAAATAACAGGAGAACTTCCTGGAAAAAGTGAAAACAGACTTGGACTTTGAAACATGAGGAGCAATTTGCTAAACAGAGAAGAGCAAAGAAGGGAGTTACAAACACTTTTGATGGAAGAAACAGCACTAAAGGTAATCACAGTTGTCACTTCAGCATTTATGATGTGCCAGGTGCTGTGCTAAGCAGTCTATGTGTATGACATTATTTAACTTAGAGAAAATCTTCCTGATGGGCAAGTATTGTTATCCTTATTTTACAGATGAGGAAATTGAGACTGAGTGACCTACAGTAACTTGCCCAGAGACATCTAGCTAATAATAAGATTTAATCCCATGGAATTGGAAGGAGCCCTGAATAGCCAAAGCAATCTTGAAGAAAAAGAACAAAGCAGGACTCACACTTCCCAATTTCCAAGTATACTATAAAGCTACAGTAATCAAAACAGTTTAGTACTGGTATAATAACAACTGCATAGACAACTGGAATACAACTGAGAATCCAGAAATAAACCCATACCTCTATGGTTAATTGATTTTTGACAAGGGTGCTAAGTTCATGCAATGGGGAAAGAATAGCCTCTTTAATAAGTGGTGCTGCGACAACTGGATATCCACATGCAAAGGAACAAAGCTGGACTCACCTCATGTCAAACACAAAAGTTAACCCAAAATGGATCAAGGACTTAAATATAAAAGAACTAAAACCATAAAATGAATAATTCATTGGTCTTGCAAAATTCTATCATGCTATTTCTGACATTGTTTCTATCATCAAGGCTATATTTTCTAACTACTGACACTTCGTTTCCAACTTTAGCATTCCAATTACCAGTAATTATCAATGCATCTTGATTGCATGTTTGATCAATTTCAGGCTGCAGAAGTTAGTAAAAATCTTCAATTTCTTCATCTTTGGCATGCAATTTATAGACCATCTCAAGAATAGATTTGATGCATTGAACACTAATGACCGAAGACGAGATGAGTTGTGGGATGACATCAAGGACATGATACATGAAGAAAGCAAAAGGTCATTAAAAGGACAAGAAAGAAAGAAAACACCAAAATGGACCCTGAAAGTTCTCTTGAACGAAGGGCAACTAAAGCAAATGGAAGAAATGATGAAGTAGAAGAGCTGAACAGAAGATTTCAAAGGACAGCTCAAGAAGACTAAGTAAAGTGTTATTACGAAGTGTGCAAAAACCTGGAGATAGGAAACCAAAAGGGAAGAACATGCTCAGCGTTTCTCAAGCTGAAAAAACGGAAGAAAAAATTCAAGCCTCCAGTTGCAATACTGAAGGATTCTATGGGCAAAATATTAAACGACCCAGGAAGCATCAAAGGAAGATGGAAGGAATTCACAGAATCACTGTACCAAAAAGAATTAGTCAATGTTCAACCATTTCAGGAGGTAGCATATGATCAAGAACCAATGGTAGTGAAGGAAGAAGACCAAGTTGCACTGGGGGCATTGGCGAAAAACAAGGCTCCAGGAATCAGTGGAATACCAATTGAGATGTTTTGATAAATGGATGCAATGTTGGAAGTGCTCGCTCTTCTATACCAAGAAATTTGGAAGACAGTGATCTGGCCAATTGACTGGAAGAGATCCATATTTGTGCCCATTACACAGAAAGGTGGCAAAATATGGAAATTATCAAACAATAATATCACACGCTAGTAAAATTTTGATGACGATAATTCAAAAATCGTTGCAGCAGTACATCAACAGGGAACTGCTAGAAATTGAAGTTGGATTCAGAAGAGGATGTAGAACAAGGGATATCATTCCTGATGTCAGATGGTTCTAGGCTGAAAGCAGAGAATACCAGAAAGATGTTACCTGTGTTTTATTGACTATGCAAAGGCATTCAACTCTGTGGATCATGATAAATTATGGATAACATTGCAAAGAATGGGAATTCCAAAACATTCAATCGTGCTCATGAGGAACCTGTACATAGACCAAAAGGTAGGCCTTCGAACAGAACCAGGTGATACTGTTTAAAATCAGGAAAGGTGTGCGACAGGGTTGTATCCTTTCACCATACTTATTCAATCTGTATGCTGAGCAAATAATCCAAGAAGCTGGACTATATGAAGAAGAACGTGGCATCTAAGGATTGGTGGAAGTCTCATTAACAACCTGCAATATGCAAAATGGCACAACTCGCTTGCTGAAAGTGAAGAGGACTTGAAGCAGTTACTGATGAAGGTCAAAGACTACAGCCTTCAGTATGGATTACACCTCAACATAAAGAAAACAAAAATTCTCATAACTGGACCAATAAGCAACATCATGATAAATGGGCAAAATATTGATGTTGTCAAGGATTTCATTCTACTTGGATCCACAATCAGTGCCCATGGAAGAAGCAGTCAAGAAATCAAAAGACAATCTGCGGCAAAAGATCTCCTTCAAGGGTTAAAAAGCAAAGATATCACTTTGAGGACGAAGATGCACCTGACCCAAGCCATGGTATTTTCAATCATCTCACATGCATGCGAAAGCTGGACTATGAAGAACTGATGCATTTGAATTATGGTGTTGGCAAAGAATATTGAATATACCATGGAATGCCAGAAGAACAAACAAATTTGTCTTGGAAGAAATACAGCCAGAACGCTCCTTGGAAGTGAGGATGGCAAGACTTTGTCTCATACTTTGGACATGTTATCAGGAGGGACCAGTCCCTGGAAAAGGACATCATGTTTGGTAACGTAGAGGGTCAGTGAAGAGGAAGACCCTCGATAAGATGGATTGACTCATTGGCTGCAAAAATGGGCTCAAACATAGCAATGATTGTGAGGATGGCACAGGACTAGGCAGTTTTGTTCTGTTACACAAAGGGTCGCTATGAGTTGGAACAACTCGACAGTACCTAACAACAACATCAAAACCATAAAACTCCTAGAATAAAAAATAGAGGTATTGCTTTAGGACCTAGTTTTTAAAAATGGGTTCTTAGATACAACACCAAAGCACTAATAACAGAAGAAAAAAATAGGTAAATTAAACTTCATCAATATCAACTACTTTTTTTGAACAAGAGTCTTTAACCACAAAGTGAAGAGACAACCTACAGACTAGGAAAAAATTTTTGGAAACTACATATCAGATAAGGGTTTAATTTCTAAAGTATATAAAGAACTCCTACAACTTAACAATAAAAAGACAAACAACTCAATTTAAAAAATGGGCAAAAGATTTCATAAAGAAGAAATACAAATGGCCAATAAGCACATGAAAAGATGCTCAATATCATTATCCACTGTTGTTTGCCATCGAGTTAATTTCAACTCATAGTGACCCTATGTAACAGAGTAGAACTGCCCTACAGGGTTTCCTAGGCTGTAATCTTGGTGGGAGCAGATTGTCAGATCTGTTTTCCTGCAGAGTCACTGGGTGGGTTCAAATCGTCAACATTTTGGTTAGCAGCCAAGCACTTAACTACTACACTTCCAAACCAAAAAAACTCAAATCCATTGCCATTGAGTTGATTCCGACTCATAGTGACTGTATAAGACATAGTAGAACTGCTCCATAGGGTTTCCAAGGAACGGCTGGTGGATTTGAACTGCTGACCTTTTGATTAGCAGCCAAGGCTCCACTGCACCACCAGGGCTCCTTAAAACACCCATTGCTGTCGAGTTGATTCAGACTCATAGCAATGCGATAGGACAGAGTAGAACTGCCCCACAGGGTTTCCAAGGAGCGGCTGGTGGATTTGAACTGCCAACATTTGTTTAGCAGCCATAGCTCTTAACCACTGCACCACCAGGGCTCCCCAGGACTCCTTAGGGAGATGTAAATCAAAACTACAACGAGATTGGTGAACGGTAAGACAGTACACAATATTGGTGAAGCCAGCACAACTTATCCAAGGCAAGGTAATGGAAGCTCCATAGACAGATCCAATCTCCCTGAGGGACTGAATTACTGGGCTGATGGCTATGGGGACCATGGTCTCGGGCAACTTCTAGCTTAACTGGCATATCATAGTTTATAAAGAAAATGTTCTACATTCTACTTTGGTGAGTAGCATCTGGGGTCTTAAAAGCTTATGAGTGGCCATCTAATATACTCCACTGGTCTCACCCCATCTGGAGCAAGGGAGAATGAAGAAAACTAAAGACACAAGGGAAAGATTAGTCCAAAGGACTAATGGACCACAACTACCACGGCCTCCACCAGACTGAGTCCAGCACAACTAGATGGTGCGTGGCTACCACCACTGACTGCTGTAACAGGGATCACAATAGAGGGTCCCGAACAGAGCTAGAGAAAAATGTAGAACAAAATTCTAACTCGAAAAAAAAAGACCAGACTTACTGGTCTGACAGAGACTGGAGAAACCCTGAAAGTATGGCCCCTGGACACCCTTTTAGCTCAGTAATGAAGTCACTCCTGAGGTTCACCCTTCAGCCAAAGATTAGACAGGCCCATAAGACAAAACAAGACAAAAGGAGCAAATCAGCCCAGGGGCAAGGACTAGAAGGCAGGAGGGGACAGGAGAGCTGGTAATAGGGAAGGTCAAGAAGGGGAGAGTGTTGACATGTCATGGGGTTGGCAATCAATGTCACAAAACAATATGTGTACTAATTGTTTAATGAGAACCTAGTTTGCTCTGTAAACCTTCATCTAAAATACAATTAAAAAAAAAAAAAAAAAACTCCCAGGAAGCATAAAAAGAAATCCTGGCTAGATTAACAGGGCATACTGCAAAAACAAATATAGAAACATTTCCTTATGATGTCGAAAAAAAAATTATTTTTAACTTCTTTCCACCAAAAGTATAAAGTATTATAAATCTCTATGAGAAACCATGGGTTTGGTGGTTGGAAGCAATAATAAAGGTAGGAACTTTGTTACTATGTTAACAAAATATTATTATGAAAGCACATAGTCTAATTGCCTTATATTTTGTGGTTCTTAAGCTTTTCTTTAATTTTCTTCAAATGGAAGAAAATTAGAACAAACCCACAAGAGCCAAAATACAACCTTGAGTATATTCCATCCAAATTTAAAGACCATATCAAGAATAGATCTGCACTGAATACTAATGATTGAAGACCAGACGAGTCATGGAATGACATCAAGGTCATCATACATGAAGAAAGCAGGAAGTCATTAAAAAGACAGGAAAGAAAGAAAAGACCAAAACGTACTGCAGAAGAGACTCTGAAACTTGCTCTTGAACATAAAGTAGCTAAAGCAAAAGCAAGAAATGATGAAGTAAAAGAGCTGACCAGAAGATATCAAAGGGCAGCTCAAGTAGACAAAGTAAAGTATTATAATGAAATGTGCAAAGACCTGGAGTTAGAAAACCAAAAAGAAAGAACACACTTTGTATTTCTCAAGCTGAAAGAACTGAACGAAAAATTCAAGCCTTGAGTTGCAATATTGAAGGATTGTATGAGGAAAATATTCAACAACGCAGGAAGCATCAAAAGAAGATGGAAGGAATACACAGAGTCACTGTACCAAAAAGAATTGGTCAATGTTCAACCATTTCAGGAGGTAGTATATGATCAAGAACTGATGGTACTGAAGGAAGAGGTCCAAGCTGCACTGAAAGCATTCGTGAAAAACAAGGCTCCAGGAATTAACAGCATACCAATCCAGATATTTCAACAAACGGATGCAGTGCTAGAAGTGCTCACTCATCTATGCCAAGAAATTTGGAAGACAGCTACTTGGCCAACCAACTGGAAGAGATCCATATTTATACCCATTCCAAAGAAAGTTGATCCAATAGAATGTGGAAATTATCAAACAATATCATTAATATCATACACAAGTAAAATTTTGCTTAAGATCATTCAAAAGCAGTTTCAACAGTACATCAACAGGGAGCTGCCAGAAATTCCAGCAGATTCAGAAGAGGGTGTGGAACAAAGAATATCACTGCTGCTGTCAGATGGATCCTGGCTGAAAGCAGAGAATACCAGAAAGATGTTTACCTGTGTTTTATTGACTATGCAAAGGCATTTGACTGTGTGGATCATAACAAATTATGGATAACATTGCAAAGAATGGGAATTCCAGAATACTTAATTGTGCTCATGAGGAACCTGTACTTAGACCAAGAGGCAGTCGTTGTTCGAACAGAACAAGGGGATACCGCGTGGTTTAAAATCAGGAAAGGTGTGCGTGGGGGTTGTATCCTTTCACCATACTTATTCAATGTGCATACTGAGCAAATAATCCAAGAAGCTGGACTATATGAGGAAGAATGAGGCATCAGGATTGGTGGAAGACTCATTAACAACTTGCGATATGCAGATGACACAACCTTGCTTGCTGAGAGTGAAAAGGACTTGAAGCACTTACTGATGAAGATCAAAGACACAGCCTTACGTATAGAAAACAAAAATCGTTATTACTGGACCAATAAATAACATCATGATAAACTGAGAAAACATTGAAGTTGTAAAGGATTTCATTTTACTTGCATCTAAAAGCAATGCCCATGGAAGCAGCAGTAAGGAAATCAAACAACGCATTGCATTGTGCAAATATACTGCAAAAGATCTCTTTAAAGTGTTAAAAATCAAAGATGTCACTTTAAGGACTAAGGTGAGCCTGACTCAAGCCACGGTATTTTCAATTGCTTCATATGCATGTGAAAGCGGGACAATGAACAAGGAAGACCGAAAAAGAATTGACTGCCTTTGAGTTATGGTGCTGGCAAAGAATATTGAATATACTATGGACTGCCAGAAGATGGAACAAATCTGTTTTGGAAGGAGCACAGCCAGGATGCTCCTTATAAGCAAGGATGACGAGACTTAGTCTCACATACTTTGGACATATTATCAGGTGGGATCAGTCCCTGGAGAAAGACATCATGCTTGATAGAGTAGAGGGTCAGCAATAAAGAGGAAAGCCCTCAACCAGATGGACTGACACAATGGCTGTAACAATGGGTTCAAGCATAACAACGATTGTGAGGATGGCGTAAGACTGGACAATGTTTCGTTCTGTTGTACACAGAGTTGCTATATGTTGGAACCAAGTTGATGGCACCTAACAAACAACAACAAGCTTTTCTCAGAATGGATCCTGGATAGTGTCTCACTTAAAATTTATTTTTTAATCTTAAAATAATTTAATTATGTGAAGATGTTAAAATCTGATTGGTGGGCTCTGATTATTGCAAAATTGTTTATTTCCATTCACTCCTATATTAGCCTAAGTTCAGTTAGGAACACAGAGCCACTACAAGTAATGCAAGAGTAAGGGGTTTAATATAGGAATTAGGATTTATACAGATGTAGGAGGACCTGGAGGAGCAAAGTTCTGGAAAGCTACAGCTGGAGAATTGGAAAAACAGTTACCATCTACTCTAGTCTGATGTACTGACACAAGTGGGAAAACCTAGAGTTCATGGGGAAGTTCAAGGAGCTGCACACATCTAGAGGCAACACAAACTATGAGTTCATGGAAATGTGTGTGAAGCCATCATGTCTGTGAAGTGAGAGTTTGTGAAGAGATATGTGAAACTGCTGCACCTGAGGAAGCCTCCATGCCTGCGAAAGCCACCATGCTTGACACAGGCAGCTTCTCCAAGGCCACTTGTTCGCTTTCACCTCTGTGATCATTAAGATTGTGTGTCAGCTTGGCTGGGCCATGATTCTCAGTTGTTTGGCAGTTATGATGTAGTTTGGCAGTTGTATGATGATGTGATCACCTCCATGATGAGATTTGATATAATGTGATCACCTCCATGATGGGAACTGCTGTGAGTAGTCAATCAGTTAAAAGAGAGTTTACTTGGGGGTGTGGCCTGCATCCAATATAGGTGGACTTTCTGGCAAGACTCGTGGGCTTTTGCTCCCTCTGGATCTTGCAGCTGCTCCTGATTATCTGACCTCCAGTTCTTGGGACTTGAGCTAGCAGCTTATCTGCAGTCTGACCTACTGATCCTGGGTTCGCCAACCCCTATGGCTATGTGAATCAGGAGAAGCATCCAGCCTGACCCATGGACTTGGGATGTTCTAGTCTCTACAACCTCATGAGCCATTTCCTTGCTATAAATCTCTCTATCTATATATTTATATGCTTTACTGGTTTTTCTTCTCTAGAGAACCCAGGCTAAGACAACCTCCTAAATCCCATGTGAGTTTTTCTCATTGGCAAACTATAACCCTCTCTGAACAAGCGAAGACAAAAGTCATAATTGGTGAGTCATACTTCCTTTTGATATCTTGTATAAGTTTGCTATTGCTACATAATAAACCACCAAAAAATCTCAGTAACATTTGTTTAGGTCACATGTCTGCAGGTCAGCTGGGGGTTGGCTTATGTGGGCTGGGGATGGCTGGGAAGCTAGGCTGGGGAAGCTCTGCTCCACTTCTCTCATCTTCCTCTGTGACTAGAGGGCTATCCTGGGCATATTCTTGTGATGAAAGCAGAAGCAAAAAAAGAACAAGCAAAGTCACACAAACCCTTTTCAAACTCTAAACACATCACACCCACTAATATTCCATTGAGCAAAACAAGTCATATGGCAAAACCCAAAGTCAAGGGGCAAGGAAATATATTTTACCCATAAAGGGACAACAGGATAGGGAGTGAATACTCTGAACAATAATTTACCACAACTTCTTAGGAAGTCTTTTCCAGATTAGACACAAAGAATAGTCTGCCCCATTTTCAAATAGGACAACGCTCAGCACTAGAAATCCAATCAGTTTCTGAAAATTCCTTAAAATGTCCTCTCATCCAGCTCACATTCTCACTTTTGCCCACTCACCGCTTATTCTCCTTCTTTAAAATTACAGGACTGTTAAAAGCACGATAACGCTACTCCTTCTTACCATTCATTCACTCATTAGTTCATCAGTACTGGATGGCTACTATGTGCCAAATACTGTGCTGATTGTGATAGACTGAGAGGCAAGCAATCCATTCGTTCAAGGAGCTCACTTTTTAGTGAAGACTAGCAGTAAAGAGACATCCATAATATAGTATGTGCAGTGGACTCTAAGATGGCCCCTTATGACCCCTGCCTTTGTGTAATTCCCTCTCTTGAGTGTGGGTGGGATCTGAGGCTTGCTTCTAACCAATACGGCAAAGGCGATGGAACCTTACGTCCATGATTATATATTATATAAGACTCCATCTTTCTATCAGACTCGCTCTAGAGGCTCTCTTTGCCACCTGGATGAAGTAGGAGGCCATATTGGGAAAGTCCATGTGACAAGGAACAGCAGGCAGCCTCTAGGAACTGCAAGCAGCCTCTAGTAGTTGAAGACAGCCTCCAGTCAACTGCCAGCAAGAAGCCAGGGCTCTCAGTTCCACAGTTACAAGGAAGTGAATTCTGTCAAAAACCTGAGTAAGCTTGGAAGCAGTCTCTTCCCCAGTCAAGCCTCCAGATAAGAATGCAACCCAGTTGATACCCTGATTGCAGCCTATGAAACCCTAAGTAGAGGATCCAGCTAAGCTGTGCCCAGACTCCAGAACTGCAGGAACTGTGAGACAATAAATGTGTGTTGTTTTAAGCCACTGTGTTTGAAGTAATTTTTTCCACAGCAACAGAAAAATAATAAAGTATGATATAGCCATGATAGAAGTGCTGTGGTAACCTACAGGGAAACTTTTCCAGGAAAGGAAGAGAAGTTTCCTAGGGTGTTTGGAGTAAGGGTATGAGAAACCATAGTGTACCTTGCAAACCTTTTTGAAATGAGGCAGGGAATAAACAATCGTGACCCATCAGCTCACTGTGGAGTTTGGGATGTGAATGTAGAGTAGTAAGAGATGTCACTGTAAAGACAGACAGGTATTACAGCATTAAAGACTTTGTCATTTACAAAGTCTAGATTTTATCCTGACGGAAATGGGAAACAAAGGATTTTAGGCATAGTAAAAACAGGAATAGATTTGAGCTGTAGAAGCATTTTGAAAAAGCATGGACAGTGATTGCTGTAATCATTAACTTAATCAAATGATCCCTTCCACAGAAGAAGATAGTGGTGATGCTGGAAGATAGAGACCTTAGAGAGGACTAGGGAAATCGGGGAAGCAGAAAGGCTGAAGAAGGCAACATTTTTTTTTTTTTTTAATTGTACTTTAGGTGAAGGTTTACAGAACAAATAGTTTCTTATTAAACAGTAGTACACATATTGTTTTATGACATTGGTTAACAACCCCATGACATGTCAACCCTCCCCCTTCTCAACCTATTTTTTTTTTTTGGTGAAAATATACATAGCCAAAGATACACCGTTTCAAAGATTTCTACATGCACAGTTCAGTGACATTGACTACGCTCTTCCAATTGTGCTGCTATTCTCACTTTAGATGAAGGTTTACAGAACAAAATAGTTTCTCATTAAACAGTTAGTACACATGTTGCCCTATGACAATGGTTAACAACTTCACTACACCTCAACACTGTCGTTACTCAACCTTGGGTTCCCCATCACCAGCTCTCCTGTCCCCTTCTGCCTCCTAGCCCTTGTCCCTGGACTGCTGGTAACTAGAATTTTCATATATATGGAGTCATCCAGTCACAAGAATCCTGTGAGATAGGGTAGGATAGTAGAAAGGAATACTTACCGAACATCTTTTATGAACCCAGTACTAGCTAAGGATGAAAAAATTAAAGCTCGGAGGTTAAGTGACTTTCCCACAATTACACAGAGCAGGGATCTAAACCCAAGATCTCTGACCCCAAATGCCATGCTCTCCCCTGTATACTAGCTGATTTCCATGTAAGTTACCAATTCCTTCTCCTCAAGACCTGCCCTCAACCTATCCCAACAGCTAACACTGTTTCTTTGGAAAACGTTAATTTCAAAAGAGCACAAAAAATAACTAACTTTATTCCTTTCTTTTTAGCCATCTCTGAATCTACAATGAATTTTAGGTGGCACAGTGGTTAAGGGCTTGGCTACTAACTGAAAGGTCAGCAGCTGGAACCCTCCAGCTACTCCACAGGAGAAAGATGTGGCAGTCTGCTTCCGTAAAGATTTACAGCTTTGAAAACCCTATGGGGCACTTCTACTCTGTCCTATAGGGTCACTATGAGTTGGAATTGACTCGACAGCAATGGTTTTTGGCAGGGGAGGTTATTAGTATTTAGTTTGTTTTAGGGGGCTGTGTTTATTCATTTTGAAACATAACCTTAAAATTTCATATTGTATATTAACCTATTAAACTGTAATAAGCTTGAAAGTATAAGTACTTAAATTTTTTCAAAGCTCCAATTCCAATGTACGTAATTTACTGAGTTTATTTTGTTAGCCAGAGTGAGTTGAGTATGCTTAAAAGAGACACAAGAACTAGGCATCACATACTTCAACTTATTTGAATAAAATTTAAATTTAAATGGGCTAATATGTTAGTTCTAAAAACGAAATAAAACAAACAGACTGAACTCAATTACCTGGAGTTGGGCCGATATGAATTCTTTTGGTTGGGTATTTGGATTTATGAGTTTTATTTTCTCTAGCAAGCCGAGATAGGGTAGCAGCATATCTAGAAAGAGTAAAAAAAAAAAAAAATCATCTAATTTCCCTAATAAATTTTGTGGAGTGCCCATTATTGAGAAAAATAAACTAAACAAACCAAATGGAACAGAAAAGTAGGACAACAGGCTTTGAACATGGTACCATTCTGAGTGTTGACTAATTCAATGGTAAAGTGAAATTATTTCAATATCTGTTTTCCAACAAAATACTTTTTAGAAAAGCAAAAAACTAAGAGATAGGATTGATATTTTAAGGGTAATAAACTTCATTTGTACAGCAAAATGTATTAGTTTCCTGTTGTTGTTTAGTACCTTCCGACTCATAGTGAGCCTACGTACAACAGAACGAAACACTGCTTGGTCCTCATAATCAATGCGATGCTTGAGCTCATTATTGCAGCCACTGTAGTCAATCCAACCCGTCGAGGGTCCTCCTCGTTTTCACTGACCCTCTACTCTACCAAGCATGATGTCCTTCTCTAGGGACTGGTCTCTCCTGTTAACATCTCCAAAGTATGTGAGACAAAGTCTCGCCATCCTTGCTTCTAGTGAGCGCTCTGGCTATACTTCTTTCAAGACAGATTTGTTTGTTCTTCTGGCAGTCCATGGTATATTCAATATTCTTCACCAATACCATAATTCAAAGGCATCAATTTTTCTTCGGTCTTCCTTATTCATTGTCCAGCTTTCATATGTATATGAGGTGATTGAAAACACCATGGCTTGGGTCAGGCGCACCTTAGTCTTTAAAGTGACATCTTTGATTTTTTACACTTCAAAGAGGTCTTTTTCAGCAGATTTGCCCAGTGCAATGCTTTGATTTCTTTCTTTTTAATTTCTAATTTACTTAAACTATGGGCTTGTCTAAGCTTTGGCTGAAAGGTGAACCTCAGGAGTGACTTCCTTACTGAGCTAAAACGGTGTCCGGGAGCCATACTCTTAGTGTTTCTCCAGTCTCTGTCAGATAAGTAAGTCTGCTCTGTGGTTTTTTTTTTTTTTTTGAGTTAGAATTTTGTTCTACATTTTTCTCCAGCGCTGTCCAGGACCCAGTATTGTGATCCCTGTCAGAGCAGTCGGTGGCATCATTTGATTTCTTGACTGCTGCTTTCATGGGCATTGATTGTGGATACAAGTAAAATGAAGTCCTTGACAACTTCATTCTTATCTTTTCTCCATTTATCATGATGTTGCTTACTGGTCCAGTTGTGAGGATTTTTGTTTTCTTTATATTGAGGTGTAATGCATACCGAAAGCTGTGGTCTTTGATCTTCAGTAAGTGCTTGAAGTCCTCTTCATTTTCAGCAAGCAAGGTTGTGTCATCTGCATATTGCAGGTTGTTAATTAGTCTTCCACCAATGCTGATGCCTCATTCTTCTTCATATAGTCCAGCTTCTCGCATTATTTGCTCAGCATACAGATTGTATAGGTATGGTGAAAGGATACAACCCTGAAGCACACCTTTCCTGACTTTAAACCACGCAGTATCCCCTTGTTCTGTTCAAACAATGACTGCCTCTTGGTCTAAGTACAGGTTCCTCATGAGCATAGTTAAGTGTTCTGGAATTCCCATCCTTTGCAATGTTATCTATAATTTGTTATGATCTACACATGCAAATGCCTTGGCATAGTCAATAAAACACAGGTAAACATCTTTCTGGTATTCTCTGCTTTCAGCCAGGATCCATCTGACATCAGCAATGACATCCCTTGTTCTACGTCCTCTTCTGAATCCGGCTTGAATTTCTGGCAGTACCCTGTCAATGTACTGCTGCAACCGCTTTTGAACCATCTTCAGCAGAATTTTACTCGTGTGTGATATTAATGATATTGTTTGATAACTTCCGCATTCTGTTGGATCACCTTTTTTTGGAATAGGTATAAATAGAGATCTCTTCCAGTCAGTTGGCCAGAAAGCTGTCTTCCAAATTTCTTGACATAGATGAGTCAGCACTTCGAGCACTGCATCCATTTGTTGATATTCTGTCAATTCCTGGGGGCTTGTTTTTTGCCAATGCTTTCAGTGTATCCTTGGACCTCTTCCTTCAGTACCATCTGTTCTTGTTCCTATGCTACCTCCTAAATGACTGAATGTCGACCAATTCTTTTTGGTACAGTGACTCTGTGTATTCCTTCCATCTTCTTTTGATGCTTCCTGCATCATTTAGTATTTTCCCTGTAGAATCCATCAATGTTTCAACTTGAGGCTTGAATTTTTTCTTCAGTTCTTCCAGCTTGAGAAATGCGGAGCATGTTCTTCTCTTTTGGTTTTCTCTCTCCAGGTCTTTACACATTTCATTATAATACTTTACTTTGTCATCTCGAGCCACCATTTGAAATGTTAGTTTCTTAGGGCTGCTGTAATAAATTATCACAAACTTGGTGGGTTAGGACAACAGACATTTCTTCTCTCACATTTCTGGAGGTTAGAATTCTGTAATCAAGGTGTCGACAGAGCCATGCTCCCTCTGAAGCCTTTAGGGAAGAATCCTTCCTTGTCTCTTCATGGCTTCTGGTGACTCCTGGCAATCCTTGGTGTTCCCAGGCTCCTAGCTGCATCACTCCAATCTCTGCTTTGGTCATCATGTGATCTTTCCTGTGTGTCTTACCCTCTTTTTATAAGGACACCAGTCATTGGATTTAGGGCCCAGCCTAATCCAGTATGATCTTATTTTAACTGGTTACATCTGCAAAGACTCCATTTCCAAATAAGGTCACATTCTGAGGTTCTGGGTGGACATGAATTTGGGTGGGCACACTATTCAACCCACTATAAACATAAACCAAACCTCTTGCCGTCGAGTCGATTCCAACTTATAGCAACCCTATAGGACAGAGTAAAACTGCCCTATAGGGTTCCCAAAGCTGTAAATCTTTACGGAAACAGACTGCCACATCTTTCTTCCTCAGAGCGGCTGGTGGGTTTGAACCTCAACCTTTTGGTCCGCAGTTAAGCACTTTACCCCTGCACCACCAGGTCTTCTTACACACTTGTGTAAACACTCCGCAATCAAGATATTGAACATTTTCATTACTCCAAAGAGTTCCCTCATGCTCCTTTGCAGTCAAGGGACTGCTTTCTGCCACTAAGGATTAATTTTGCCTGTTCTAGAATTCCAAATTAACAGAATCCTGGAGGATTTACTTTCGCTGTATTTTGCATCATAATGTTTTCCTATGTATCAGTGTTCTGCTCTTTTATACTGCTGAGTAGTATTCCATTGCATGAACATACAGCAACCAATTTACTCATTCACATGTTGATAGCTATATGGATTGTTTCTAGTTTGGGGTCATTATGAATAAAGATGCTAATAACATTAGCAAACAATTTTGCATGGACATGTTATAATTTTTCTTGGATAAATACATAGGAGTGGAATTGCTGGGTCATATAGTGTTTAATTAATTTTATAACAAAATGCAAAACTGTTTTCCAAAGTGGATGAACTTATTTTACGTTACTACAAGCAATTTATGAGAATTCTAGATGTTCCACATCCTAACAAGCACTTGGTATTGTCAGTCCTTTTTACTTTATCTATTGCAGTGGGTGTCTAGTAGTATCTTATTGTGGTTTTAATTTGCATTTCATTGATAAGTAATGATGTTAAGTATCTTTTTCGGTACTTACTGGCTATTCAGCTATCTTATTTGGGGCCCTGGTGGCGCAGTGGTTAAGAGTTCAGCTGCTAACCAAGAGGTAGGCAGTTCGAATCCACCAGTTGCTCCTCAGAAACCCTATGGGGCAGTTCTACTCTGTTCTATAGGGTCGCTATGAGTCCAAATCGACTCAATGGCAATGGGTGTTTTGGTTTATTTTATGAAGTGTGTTTTCAAATATTTTGTCAATTTTTAATCAGGTTATTTCCCCTATTATTTAGTTGTAAGCGTTCTTGCTATATTCTAATACAAATCCTTTGTCAGACATATGTATTTCAGACACATTCTCCAAGTTTCTGGCTTGCCTTTACACTCTTTCATGTTGTCTTTCGAAGAGCACAAGTTTTATTTTTTGATGAAGTCCAATATATCAATTTTTTGATAGTGTGGGATTTTTTTTATTTTGTTTTGTTTTTCTGGTCCTACCTAGGACATCTTTGTCTACTCCAGGATAGTGAAGATTTCTTCCTATGTTTTCTTCTGGAAGTTTTGTGATTCTAGCTCTTATGTGTAAGTATATGATTCATTTTGAACTAAATTTTACCTATGGTGGGAGGTAAGGGTTTAAGTTCATTTTTTTCCATACTGTCATCCTGTATTTCCAGCACCATTTGATGAAATATCTACCCTTTACCCACTAGTTAAGCACATATGTGTAGGTTTATTTCTGTACTCTCTATTCTATTCCATCGATCTATATGCCAATATACAGTTATGATTACTTAGCTTTACAGGAAACCTTGAAATCAGATAGTATAAGTCTTTCAACCTTCTTTTTTTGAAACTGTTTTGGTTATTCTAAGTCATTTGCATTCCCATGTAAATACCAGAATTAAATTGTAAATTTCTATAAAATAGCTTTTTGGAATTTTCATCAGGATTGTGCTGGATCTATAGCTTAATCTGGGGAAAATGTCATTTTATCAATATTGAGTATTCATATCATTAACATGTATAGCTTTCCATTTATTTAGGTCCTCTTTATCTCAGTGATTTATAGTTGTCAGTGCACAGATTTTGCATATATTTTGTTATATTTATCTCTCAGCAGACCATTTTTTATGTTATTGTAAATATTTTTTTATAAATTCAATTTCTAATGGTTGGTTGTTAGTATATAGAAATACAATTGATTTTTTTTCATATTGACTTTGTATCTTGCAATCTTATTAGCTTTTCTGTGGACTCTTTAAGATTGTCTATATAGACTATCATCTTGTTTGTGACTAAAAATAATTTTGCTTCTTCCTTTTAAATCCATGTTCTTTTAATTTTGTTATCTGGTTTTACTGCACTGGCTAGAACCTCCAATAAAATGTTGCATGGCAGCTGTGGGAGCAGACATCCTTGTCTTTTCCTGATATTAGGAGGTAAACATTCAGTCTTTCACTATTATGTATGATGTGGTTTTTTCATAAATGTGTTTTATCAGGTTGAAGAAGTTTTTTCCCATTTCTAATTTATTAAGGGTTTTTATCAGGAATCGATGCTGATTTTTTCATATGCCTTTTCTTTACCTATCGACATGATCATATGGTTTACTTTCTTATTCTATTAATATAGTGAATTACATTGTTTGATTTTTTGGATGTTAAACCAATGTTACATTCCTGGTATAAGCCCAACTGGTCATGATGAACTATTGCACACACATACATACACATACACACACACCACTATCTATCATTGGATTCAATTTGGTAAAATTTTGTGAAGGATTTTTGCATCTCTGTTTATGAGGGATATTGATCTGTAGTTTTCTTTTCTTACACTATTTTTGGTTTTGTTATTGAGGTAATGATGACTTCAAAACATGAATTGAGAAGTGCTTCCATCTCTTCTATTTTCTGAAAGAGTTTGTGGACACTTGGTATTATTTTTTCCTTAAATGTTTGGAAAAGTTCATCACGGGAGCCATCTAGGCTTGGAGTTGTCTTTGTGTAGAGATTTTTAACTATAAATTCCATTTATTTATTAGATATAAAATTATTCAAGTTATCCATTTCTTTTTAAATTAGCCTTGGTAGATAGTGTCTTCCAAGAAATTTGTTTATTTCATCTATGTGGTTGAATTTATTGGTACAAAATTGTTCACAATATTCTCCTTTTAAATCCTTTTAATATCTATGAGATCTGTAGTGATGTCTCCTCTTTCAATCCTGATATTGGTAATTTGGGTCTTCTCTCTTTTTCTTGATCAGTCTTGCTGGAAGTTTATCAATTTTATTGCTTATTTTGAAAAACACCTTTAGGTAGCGTTGATTTTTCTTTATTTTTATGTTTTTGATTTCATTGATTTCTTTTTCCCCTTTCTTCTGCTTACTTTGGGATTAATTTGTTCTTTTTCTTAAAATAGAAGCTTAGATCATTAATTTGAGACCTTTATTCTCTTCTAATATCGGTGTTTAATATTAAACATTTCCCTGTATGCAATGCTTTAGCTGTATCCAACATCCCACAATGTTGTGTTTTTTTATTTACTTTTTTACATTCAGTTCAAAATATTTTCTATTTTTCTTTGTGATTTTTTCTTTGACTTACTGGTTATTTAGAAATGTGTTGTTTAATTTCCAGCTATCTGGGGGAGAGCTCCTATATATCTTTTTGTTATTGATTTAGAGTTCAAATCAGTTTTCAAAGAACATATTTTGTACGACGTCAATCTTTTAAAATGTATTGGGACTTGTTTTATGACCCAGAGTACTATCTATTTTGGTAAATGTTTCATTTGCACTGGAAAAGAATAAGTATTTTTCTGTTTTGGGGGCAAGTGTTCTATAAATGTCAATTAAGTCAAGTTTGTCATAGTGTTGCTCAAATCCTGTATATATTTACTAATTTTTTTTGATCTACCTGTCCTATTTATTACTGATGGGGTAGAGGCTTGAAAAAATATATTTTTTGATTTGTCTATTGCTTCTTCCAGTTGTTTTTTCTTCATGTATTTTTGAAGTTCTGTTAATAGTTACATAAATATTTAGAATTTTTATGTCATGGTGATTAATTTACCTCTTTACTACAGATAAATGTTCCTCTTTATCCCTGGTAATATTCCTTTTCTGTAGTCTATGCTGCCTAACATTAATATAGCCATTCCATCTTACTTTTGATTAGTGTTTTCATGGTATAGTTTTTCCACCTTTGCCTTTTAACCTATCTCTGATAGTATATTTAAAGTAGGTTTCTTGTAGACAGCGTGTAGTTGGATCTTACTTTTTAATTTAATATAATCTGAAAATCTCTGCCATTTAAAGAGAGTGCTTAGATTGTTTACATTTAATATAATTATCAATATGGTTAGGGTTAAATCTACCATATCTCTATTTGTGTTCTCTGTCTCATCTGCCCTTTGCTCCTTTTTACTTCTTGTCCTGCTTTCTTTTGTATTTGTTTTTAATATTTCATTTTATCACTACTATTGGTTTATTATCACTACTTTTTTTTTAGTGGTTGTTCTAGGGTTCACAACAAACACCATTAACTTATAATAATCTACCTTCAAATAATACTATAAAACTTTCTGTATAATGTAAAAACCTTACAACACTATATTTCCATTACTCTCTCCCATCTTTTGGGCTACTGTTGTTATACATTGTAATTTTACATAGGTTATAAACCCCACAATATATTTTTATTATTTTTATTTTAAACAGTAAACTATCTTTTGTTTCTTTCTTTTTTGTCATTTATTTTTTAAATAGATTAAAAATAAGTCTTTTAAATTTACCCACATGTAAACCATAACTTTTGTGTAGATACAAATTTCCATTAATATAATGTTCTTTCTCCCTGAAAAGCTTCCTCCAACATTTATTGTAGAGCAGACGTGCTGGTGATAAATTCTCTCAGCTTTTGTAGGTCTGAAAAAAATCTTTATCTTACTTTCATTTTTAAAAAATTTTATTGTGATTTAGGTGAAAGTTTACAGAGCAAATTAGTTTCTCATTAAAAAATTTATACACAAATTGTTTTGTGACATTGTTTACAATCCCCACAATTTGTCAGCACTCTCCCCTTTTCACCTCAGGTTCCTCATGTCCATTCATCCAGTTTTCCTGTCCCTTCCTGCCTTCCTGTCTTGCCTTTGGACAGAAGTGGCCCATTTGGTCTTGTATACGTGATTGAACTAAGAAGCACATTCCTCATGTGTGTTACTGTTTATTTTACAGGCCTGTCTAATCTTTGGCTGAAAAGTGGGCTTTGGGAGTGGCTTAGTTCTGAGTTAACAGGGTATCCAGGGGCCACAGTCTCAGAGAACAGTTTCTCCAGTCTCTGTCAGACCAGTAAGTTTGTTTTTCTTTTTTTGGAATTTGAATTTTGTTCTACTTTTTTCTCCCACTCTGTCCAGGGCCCTCTATTATGATTCCAGTCAGAGTGGTTGGTGGTGGAAGCTGGGCACCTTCTAGTTCTTCTGGGCTCAGGCTGATGGAGGCTGTGTTTCATGTGGCCCTTTAAGTCTTTTGGACTAATATTTTCCTTGTGTCTTTGGTTTTCTTCATTCTCCTTTGCTCCAGACAGGATGGGACCGATAGATGTATCTTAGATGGCTGCTCACAAGCTTTTTAAGACCCAGGATGCTACTCACCAAAGTAGGATGTAGACCATTTTCTTTATGAACTATGCTTTGCCAATTCACCTAGATGTCTCCTGAGACCATTGTCCCCAGCCCTCAGCTCCAGTAACTTGGACCCTCAAGGTGTCTGAATGTGTCTAGGAAGCTTCTATGATTTTGCCTTGGTCAAGTTGTGCTGACGTCCCCTATATTGTGTGTTGTCTTTCCCTTCACCAAAGTTGACACTTGTCTATCTAGTTAGTAATTTCCCCCCAGCAAAATGCCTCCCCTCCCTTGTAACCATCAAAGTTTTTTTTTTCTGTGTGTAAACCTTTTCTTGAGTTTTTATAATAGTGGTCTCATACAATATTTGTCTTTTTGTGATGGACTTATTTCACTCAGCATAATGCCCTCCAGATTCATCCATGTTGTGAGATGTTTCACAGATTCATGGTTGTTCTTTATTGTTTCGTAGTATTTCATCATGTGTAGGTACCATAATTTGTTTATCCATTTATCAGCTGATGCGCATTTAGGTTGTTTCCATCTTTTTGCTATTTTGACTAATGCTGCAATGAGCATGGGTGCACATATGTCTTTTCATGTGATGGCTCTTATTTCTCTAGGATACGTTCCTAGGAGTGAGATTGCTGGATTGTATGGTATTTCTATTTCTAGCTTTTTAAGTAGGCACCATATCATTTTCCACAGTGGTTGCACCATTTTACATTCCCACCAAGAGTTCCAATCTCCCTACAACCTTCCAACATTTATTATTATTATTATTTAGATTAGTGCCAGTATTTCAGGGTAAGATTGTGCCTCATTGTAGTTTGGATTTGCTTTTCTCTAATGGCTAATGATCATGAGCATTTCCTCATGTGTCTGTTAGCTGC